GCTTTTGCAGATTTTCCAGAGCGCGTCCAGCAGGTGCAGCGCCATCCAATTTTGGGACCGCTTCTGCACAGCTACTGGGCTGGCTGTTTTTCTCAGCGTCCTGGAGACTTGCTGGTGGCAGCCCTGCCACCGTGCTTTCGCGTTGCAGAAGTTTGCCTTTGGCAGCTTGGCAGGAGGTCTCTGTAGCTAAAGACAACTCTTGCCCCTCTGCTCCTGAGGGGCCCTCGGGAGCTGCTTTGCTCTCCTCGTTTGACTCTGGAAACGCCTCAGCACCGCACGGTTCTGCTGTACCCTTGGCCGCTGGACTCTGCTTGAAGCCTGCATGGTTTTCAGAGAAAAGCTGGGGTAGTTCAGCACTCAGCGTGCTGTGGACAGTCTTTTTAAATATCTGGCTGATGTGCTCCCTGAAGTCTGGGAGGCTGGAGCCGATGTCCAGAGAGCTGCAAGTCAGAGCCTCATGCTCCCTTGCAGCGCGCTCTGCAGACTGCACGGAAACGCTGATCTCTGCCCTGGTTACGTTGTTATTCTCCTTTGAAAGCTCTTCCATTTCTTCAGAATTCCCCGGTTTCTCTAAGATCTCGCCGTACTTGTCATCCACGCAGATATTGGTTGCAATTTCCTCATTACAGCCTTCTTGTTTACCAGCAGATGAAAGGCTCAGCAGCTTCCCTTCCAGAGCAGGGAGAGCTCGCACAGGCTCTGCTGAACTGTCACTTCGCCGCTCTTTGAAGTTTACCTCACTTTTTGTTTCTTTGGCTTTAATTGCAGCTTCCTCTTCCTTCAGCTCCTCAGAACTGAACTGTGATAAGTTTCCAGTGCTCTGTCCCATATTTAAAATCTCTGGCAGGGCTAAACTTCTGTCTCCGTCACCCTGAAAACTTGGGTCTGGAACATCATTTTCACTCACACGCACACTCCCTGCAGAGCTGTTTTCTGTGTTTACCTCGGGCGAAGGACCTAAGTGCACGGACACCTGAGAACCTGCAGCACGCTGCAAATCAACTCTACCTTCTGGGGCATTTTGACACGCTACCACTTCCAGCTCATCATTTAGTGATTGCCCCCCGGTACCAGTGCTGGTGGTGTTTGCAGGTCGCTGGTTAACACCGCTGGGTGCAGAGGTCTGTGCAGAGAGGGCTGCAGCATTCACTTGACAAGAACCAGGCTCCTCTGGTGTCTGCTGAATGCAGCTGGATTTATCCGAATTATCGGTGGGAATTACATCCCCGTGTGCCTGCGATGGGGAAAGAGATCTTTGTGGCCCTGGACTTTGATCACTTTTCAGACCGCTTGTTTCTGTGACAGCAGTGCTGTCCTCACCACTTATCTCCACATTTCCATCTTTCTGGATGATTCCCCCATCAGGAGTCAGACTTTCAATATTTTCCTCATTTTTTGCCATTAATGGTGTTTCCCCTTGAGCTTCTGCACAAGATACCTGAGGATCATTTTCCTCCGAGTTATTAGGTGTATGTGCTATTTCTGTATCACTTGGCAAAGCCTGTGATGTGTTAGTGGCACCCGCTGCATTCTGTGTCCCTGGAAGAGCATTTCCAGCCACAGCACAGATTTCTCCAGTGTCATCCTTTATCCTGCATCCTCTGCCTGGCCGCTCCTTCTCATCAGATCCTTTACAAAACGCTTCGCTCCGACGTGCTGCTTCATGCTGACTCGCTGAGATCAAAGAATTATCGTCCTGCTCGGGCTTGCTTGGCTTCTGCTTACTGCAGCAGTTTTCTTCTGCCTTCAGATCAGTTTTGTTTTGCTCGTTGCAACTTTGCAAACCGAGCACGGTCACACCAGAAATGCTTTGCCTGTGTTCGCTGCCGCACGTATCCTCTGGCAGCACGGCACCGCTTTTGCCCTTGTCCTTTCCTTTGGCTGCATCAGAGTCGCGTTGGATCGGTGCTGTACCGAGCACAGAAGAGTCTGTATTAAGGCTGTCTGAAATGTTTTGAGGTATTTCTGGTATGTTGCTGGGATCATTTAGGCCCAATGGCTGCTCGGGTTTTAGAGCCCTTTCTCTGTGTTCCTGACCATCAGTTGTCAGACCGCTTTGCTGCTGCTGTTGTTCGGGTTTGGTATTTGAAATCCAGTCACCAGCAACAGTCACCGACGTTTCCATTTGCTCTGCTCGGGCAGCAGCAGTGGGAACATCTGCATTTTCCTGCAGCTCTCGGCTGGTGCACTCCAGGGCCTCCGCAGAGCTGCACGTGTCGCTGTTTTCATGCATGTGGCTGTCACCCCCTTCCTCCACGTGAACGTGCTGAGGAGCGAGGAGGTTTCTGAAGCCTTGGGAGGTTTTGGAACAAGCCATCTGCGTATTTTTGGGACTTTCTGCAGCCACTTGCTCCAGCTGAGCTTGCATCAGCACATCTGATTTGCGTTCACTTTTCAGTGCCAAATCCTTGTCCTCCACGAAGCTTCGCACCGCAGCTTGGTGCGTCTCCTCTTGAACACCCTCATTTTCTTTACCATCCACAGCGCTGCTTTGTGCAGCTGCAGGTCGTTCCTCTGCACCGTTCTGTTCTTTGGTTTCTGAGCCCTGTGAGGCCTCAGTTTGTACAGCCACGACATCCACAGTCCCTGCCAAATCATTTAAGCCCTGGAGCTCCAGTTTTGATTTGGACATTTTTGTGCTTTCTTCTGACTTGCTACAGCTCTCGGGCTTTTCTCGACTCTCTGTTTCGCATTCAGATTCCAGCACAGTTTCTCTAGCGAAAGCCTTTTCCCAGGCCTCATCCTGCTTACTCTGCTTAATATTATTGTTCTCAGAGTGGAGGAGCGGTGAACTGTGCGCACTGGCTAAACAAACCTTTTCAGTCCCAACACAGCCTGGCTGGCCCCAAGTTTTGCCGTCTGCCTTGGTGTTAAAGCAATCACAACCGAGTGGGCACTCCTCCCTTGGAACCTGCGGCGAAGCCACGAGTTTATTCTCCAGGTCACCTGCGACAGCTGCTTTTAATGTGCTCATTTGCTGTTCAGGTTTGTGACCAGGAGAGTGTGAATCGTCTTCGGGCGATTTAAAGTTGCTGTCTGAATTCAGAGGCTTTCCTCCAGTTTCTTCTCCCAGGTCACCTGTTGAGGAGTTGTGTCCCAAGTGGGCATTTTCCATGTCCTGGTGGTTACTGTCAGAGTTCAATGGTTGTCTTTCCACCCCACTTGACCCCTTGGGTAATTCACTGCTTTCTGTTGCTTGTGCCTCCTCTCCTCTCATTTTGGGTTTTTCTCCCGTTACACCCGCCTCGGTTTCTTTTTGATTCAGCTCTGTGGATCTGCTCAGAGAAGTCTTTGATGCATATTCTTCCAGAAATAATCTGTTATCTACTGGGGAATTTTCCTTGGTGGGCCTGATACTGCTTTCTGTTTCAGAAAATGTGGTGCTTTCTCTAGACACATCAGCAGCTTTTATCATTTCATTGCTGCTGGCTTCATCTTTTGGGCTTTCAGTTGTGACAGCTGATTTTTGTTCTTCCCCTGGCTTAGCTGATAAAGGCACACTGAAAGGCTCGGCACTAACGAGCTCGTCCTCCTTTTGATGCTCTCTTTGAGCAACGGGTTCGCTTTTTTCAGAGGCTGTTTTCACTGCTTCACTCCTCGCTGGATCTTGAGAGTCATTTCCAGGCACATATTCCCTCGAAGGTTCCTCAGGCGTTGGTACCAGGAGGAGATTTGGCGGGTTAGAAGGCAGCTCTGACATTAAAGTACAGGCTCCTGATTGCTCTCTTTTGCTTCCAGATAGGGCTGGATTTGTCTCTTTGCCTTTAGCTGCTGTTACAGCGCCCATCTGTAGATTACAGACTTCACTCATCTCAGCAAAGCCTTGAGCATTCACAATTGCTCCACATTTTTCACTGTCTGAGCCTCCCGTTGCTGGATAATTTCGGATTAAGGTTTCCTTTTTCATTAGCAGACCCTCTCCACCATCTGTGTCCTGTCTACCTTGCTGCGTCCCAGTCTGCGGCTGACCCACTTCCAAAACTCCTCGCTCCTGCCTGGCCTCCTGAGCAGTAAAATAATCTCCTCTTCCTCCTCCTTCGCCCGGGGGAAACGCGCTGACATGTAGTCCCCTCGTGCCCCCCAGCTGCTCGCTCAGCCAGGGCCACCCTGAGTCACTCAAACCCATTTGTGCGACTCCTTGCATTTCTGTAATTGCTGCAGGAGGGCTGGGCTCCAGGCTTGGGTTTCTGGGATCATTCTCAGTGTTTTTCATCGAAGTGGCAGCAATGTTGGTGCATTTTGGGCCTCTATCCATAGGTACGGCGTGTGGTATTCCCTCTTTGTCAATCACTGGACCCAGTGATGGCACTGCTTCATTGCAATTTGGGGTTGGTGATTTACTGCTGCTGGTAGGATCTGCTGTGACTTGTTCCTTGGCAGGGCCTGCTGCAAGCACTGGGGTAGGCAGCCTCCTCTCTCCTGCTTCTGCAGCCTCCTCTGAGAAATCAGAGCCCTTTTGTCCTCCATGGTCTTGCAAGATATGGTCCTGTCCTGTCTCGTCTGCAGACACTGTGCTTGTGTTTGGACTGGATAACCCTTCAGCGCTGTGGCAACCGATGCCGTCATTACCGATGCTGCCAACAATGGAAATGTTTATTCGTTTCACGTCAATAAAATGAAGCAAAGAGTAAAAGCAGTATTCGTGCCATTGATAGTGCAAAGCCATGCAGGGGATGCTCGGAGGGGCTGTGCTTTCAGGAGCTTTCAGAAGTCCGCTCTCAGGAGCGAAGCCATCAGATGCTCATTGCAGTGTTTTAAATGCTCATTACACTGGAAAACACGTCCCCAGTCCTACCTGACAGCCACCATGCTCGTGGCGTGCATTTTAACCATTCCAAAATCTGTTTAGTTAAGCGTGAGGACGCACATCTGACAGACCAAGGAAGCAACGCGGAAAAAGTGACAAAAATACTCAAAAATCCACCAGTCCCTCGAAGAAAGGTTTTTAATTTCTGCATCTATGAGACTACGTTGTGCAAAGCTAAAGGCCGTGCCATCCCAGTAAGTGCTGCTATCTGGCTGTACTGCTGTTGTGTGGCAGATTAAGGAGGGCCCATCTGTTGAATGTTTTCTCTAAGTTGATCACCGAAAGGCCAAAGGTCTCACCCTGCCCAACCGTGGCACACACCCCATGAGGTCATTTTATTGCAGGGTTTGATTTCAGGGCCTATAAACTATAACCCTTCGTGGGATCTTGCTCCCCACCCATCAAAGATAAGATAAACGGAAGCAGAGATGATGTGGGTGCACCAACTGCAGAGAAGGAGAAGTTATTTTTAATATTTTTCACGTGCACTTGTGCATCTCAGTTCCAGCCCTTGGTTTGTAGATGATAGCATTGGTCCACCTTGTTCTCTCCCTCACCTCCCCTGGGCACATTTTCATTGCCTAAAGGAACCTGGAGTGAAAGATCAATTCAAAACTGGACATGGGATGTACCTAGGAGCAAGGGGCATCATTTACTTAACTTGAACTAATAAATCTCCCACCTATCCCCTCCCATCCAAAGCAAGATACGCAGACAAGACGTTAAATGCTTGGAGGTCACTGTGCGCTCTAGATCCATAGCTGCAAGGAGTGAGTTGGTTCATGGTGAGCCCATCACTGGAGCTTAGCAGTAACAGGATGCATTTCAAAAATTCAACGTGCCCTACGGGCTGGAGCTGTGATGGGTATAGGAAATATAAATGTAAAAATCTCCTTTAGAAATGTTAAAGCTCTGTGCCCTTGTGGCCAAGAAGGCCAATGCCATCCTGGAGTGTATCAGGAGGGGGGTGGTTGTAGGTCAGAGAGGTTCTCCTCCCCCTCTACTCTGCCCTGGTGAGACCACATCTGCAATATTGCGTCCAGTTCTGGGCCCCTCAGTTCAAGAGGGACAGGAACTGCTGGAGAGAGTCCAGCGTAGGGCTACAAAGATGATGGAGGGAGTGGAGCATCTCCCTTATGAGGAGCGGCTGAGGGAGCTGGGGCTCTTTAGCTTGGAGAAGAGGAGACTGAGGGGAGACCTCATTCATGTTTATAAATATTTAAAGGGTGAGTGTCACGAGGATGGAGCCAGGCTCTTCTCGGTGACAAACAATGATAAGACAAGGGGTAACGGACACAAGCTGGAACACAGGAGGTTCCACTTCAATTGGAGAAGAAACTTCTTCTCAGTGAGGGTGACAGAGCACTGGCCCAGGCTGCCCAGAGAGGTTGTGGAGTCTCCTTCTCTGCAGACATTCAAAACCCGCCTGGACGCCTTCCTGTGTAACCTCATCTGGGTGTTCCTGCTCCAGCAGGGGGATTGGACTGGATGAGCTTTTGAGGTCCCTTCCAATCCCTAACGTGCTGGGATTCTGTGAAAGCTGCTAATGAACCCACACATAGCCCAGGCCTTATTTAAGTTAAAGTTTGTTTTATCCACATCTGTCTAAAAAGTACATGCACTAAAAGTACACCTATCTGAGGGTACATCTATCTAAAAGTACATTTACTAAAGGTATAACCAAGCAACCAAACCAGTGATCACCAACAATGCCCCGTTCTGTAAAGTGTATCAAGGATGAAAAATTTATTACTTTAACGATCACTGGAGCCTTAAACCTTTGTTATATGAAACAGCCCCTCAGCTTTTCCAGCCAAGTCTTTGGGTCTCTCTCTCTTAAGTCTGGGGTCCGTGGGGGCTACAGAGCCACCCCAGACCAAATTTCTGTAAACACTGCACATGATAGGGAGTAGGAGGAGTTATTTTAATTACCTATTTTAGTGCACGTATGTATCTATTATAATATGTAAACACACCAGGCAAGGTGTGCTTTGTTGGTGAAACTATTCCCCTTCACACCCAGCCGTAATTAGAGAAGTGTTTGCTTGTCTGCATCACACTGGTGTTGATAAGTTATCCTCATCCCACATTTTTGGTGACAGAGCTATAAAAGATGCTTAAAACACCTTCTGTAAGCCAAGCATAAATTGGATTTCAAGTAATGTCCAGAAATCTGAGAAGGCTCTCTCTGCTTCTCCACCCAAGTTTTATGCACAAAACACTTGCCCAAAGGTGACCAGCTCTCAGGTCCCTGCAGTTTGGGTCTGTGCTTATACAAACACTGCCCTTTCAGGAACCATTGAGGCAGCATTGAAGCCCCGCACTTTTGGGCTGTGCTACAGTGCACAAAATGCACTTCCAGGTGGGGTCAAAACCCCTCTGTATACTGAGGACCGCTCAATGCAATTATCCCTTTATGAGGAACCTGAGCCTGCCAGAGACCCCAAAACCCTTCTTCAGAGCCATTACAGTGGAAAATGGACTAGTCTTTACAGAGACTCTATTTAGGCAAAGCCTCAAACCTAAGGTAAAATATCTATAACATACAATTAATTCATTGTTGAACCAAGTTTCAGCAATGCTTGGTGTCAGTTTGAACATTTAATGTATAACACTAATGCATTTTATTTAAACTTTAAAAAACCTGTTTTGCCCAAAGGAAGTTTTCTTCTCCTAGCACACTGAAAACACCTTTCCCTATAAAACTTACTGACACAGCTGGCAATGCACTGTTTGGTATTTGTTGGATCACTGACAACATGGGGCACCACGGGACATGAACACACAACAAAGAGATGCCAGGAGGCTTTCCCTAAGGAAGGAATAAACTTTATCATCTGCCATTAACTTTGCACTCAGGGGCTCTTCATTAGAAGAGGAGGGGCAGAAACCACAGCTCTGAATTGGGGAGGGCATGGAAAGGTGGGAGTCAATCGCCACTACAGCTTTTTGTTTGTGTTGCAGTTTATCTCCTCACTGATTAAATTGCTCTTCAGCAGTTGTGTGCCCAAGGTTCTTCACCTGGAAACTTGCTCTAGTCCGAGATATTGTATTTGGGAGAAGAACAAAGGTGGGTGCAGGTCAGGTGGTGGGTGAAGCCCTCTGACCTCTGTGAAACTGAGCCTTGGAAAAGGTAGAAAACACCACCTACAAATACAGTTCCTCCTTATCTTTTATCTTTAACCTCCCATTCTGTACTCATTAATCCCATTTGTCAACTGCGTTAGGAAATGGCATAGTAATAAATTGGGACTGAAACTTCAGTAGTGCTCATCATGCAGACCGTACATCATCATGTATTTGCAGTTTACAGGTTTGGGCTGCCTGTAATTTCTCTAAGATCTTTACAGATATGACTTCTTTGTTACATTGGACTTCTATTTGCAGCTGTTAAATATGAAACAGTTCCAAACATGTCTGAAGTGGTTAAGTTTTCTTGAATATAATTGCTAAACCCATCTACTGCCACGCTGGTAGCAACTTTGCAGAGAGTCATAGCAGTAAAGCTGTGACTTAGCAGGTTCAAGGGCAGATGAAAAGCCTACAAAATAAGCTATTCAGCACTGTGAATCAACTAAAACCATTTTTCTGGCATTCAGTAATGCTGAAAACTTGTTCATTTTACTCAGGAGTAGGTGAAGGAATTGGGACAACTTAGTAATTAATGTATGCAGAGCAGAATTCAGATGACAGTGCTGGCACATGCTGTGACAGCAACTTAAACTATCGCTTCTCAAATGAAGTAGCACACATTCATCATCTGTGCTGCTTCAGCTTGCTCCAATGTTTTATTCAGGGCATAACAGAGAAATGAATTGTTCAAATTTCCAGTCATAGTAAGTTATATCCAGACTGCCCTGTTTGGATATCTCCATTTCTGTTTCTCCCTCTGATGTAGGTGATAAGGAAAACTCTGTAGGGAACATACCCTACATCTTCCTTTTCGTTTTTCTGTAATCTTGCTTTTCTGTCTGCAAGACTCAGCTGGGGTTGGACACAAACATCTGTTGGGAATGGCTTAAGCACAGTTGATCCAGCTTTAGGGCAGAAGGATGGACTAAATGACCTCTTAAGGTCGCACCTAGTCCCATTATCTTCCACTCTTTTTAAAGGGAATAACACTACATGGAAATGACACCACATGCTGAAGATAATTCCCCTGAGTAAAACCCAGTCTACATGAAAATGCATTAGCAATCAATAATTACCTGCAGGGAGTGTGTATTTTCAGACAACCCATTCAATACAATCAACATAAAGACCTTAAAAGTTGTTTTTTTAAACACAGGAAGATAAAATGTGTTCTCTTTTGTGTTTACTTGATCTCTTTTGTTTGTAATCTGAACTAGCTTGATATTAAGGGGAAAATTCATACTGCAGGGTAATATATAAAACAAAACATGCAAATGACAAAGCATGAAAGAACATCAGAGTTTGTGTAGAGCTTAAGGCAGAAAAAGTGATTGTGCTCGGAATAATTGCTGCATGTAATTGATGATACATTAAAAGAAAAAAGAAAATGCAGTCATGCCAAGACCTAGGTGCATTTGTGCATATGCACTCGAGATACACAAGTGTCCCACTGCACTCAAGGGATATCAAAGGGAACTTTTCCCTTGTCTTAGAAGTTAAGCACACAGTCAGGGGTTTCCAAGTTCAAGGCTTAACATCCTGACCGTATGAACGCTATCCTTCCAGTTGCAACATCAAATAACCACGAGTTAAATCTTTGTATGCCTGAAGTGTTTGTTTTGCATCAATAATCACTGAGAATTTGCTTGTTTGGAAGCACATTGCAAATTTACCAATTAATTTTCAATATCTGTAGTTAACCTCTTCCACCTTCAGAATATATTGTGGCACGTTCGAATTATCCTGGAACAGTTTAAAAGTGCTGCCCAGTTCCTAAGATGTTTGTTAGGACAGCACTGCCTGGTTTGTGTTTAGGGTGTGAAGCTATAAAGGATGTTAAAGAATTGATGACTTATGGTGTATCTACCAT